TGGTGCTATTCCATAAGCCCAAACTGAATCAAAAAGGAAGAAGAAAAATGCTGGCTCACGCCAACATCTCCCTCTTTGGGCTTTCTGGTCTCTCAGGAAGGGAGCAAGCTTCTTCACGGTCCCTTCCATGACAGGCCATCCTCCTCCCCACGAGCCAAACCCAAACAACCAGAGCAGTTCATAAAATCTCCTCACGTGGTGTTTTCTATGAATGAGATAAATTGTAATAGGAGCCGAGCCAACACTGATATTTCAAGCAACTTCTCAAGATTTGCTGATAGCTGCTTTGGAAACAGAAGGACGGGAACAGCACAATGTCCCTTTCTGAAGAAAGCAGGCACGGCAGTGGAATTGTCACCAGAAGGGAGGAGACACGGTCCTTTGGTCTGCTGTGCTCAGGTTCCTGCACCATCATAAGTCAGGCTGGGGAATGTGGCTCATGGCCAGCCCTGGTACAGGGACATCGTTGCCAACACGGGAGGTGTCATGGGCTTCTGGGCATCTGAGAGGTGTTCTGAGTTTTATATTTGATGGTATTTCCTTGAGAGTTGGCCATCTTCACAGGACTGAATGCTAAAAGAGAAAGACGCCAGTCTACAAAAGATGCTTGTATGTGTCCCATTTATCAGAAAGCCCTGCAAGCTAAGAAAATGGTCCTTTTCTAGTCAGGAAACCCATATGTAGCAGCAAGCCCATCTTCAAACGTGCTGAGTTTGAGAGAGCTCAAGTCTGACTTCCAACAATTCAACCAGCTGACCCACTGCTCAACCAGAGAGCCGAGACCTGGTTTGGGACTAGAAGGAAGGCAATAAGTAGATAGGTCTTAAGGGGAGAGCACAGAAATAGACCCGAATAGCTTCTTGAATAGTCCCAAGCTGTAACCTGTCCAGAGTTTCCGCTCCTTTCTTAAAAAGTAGGCACGTGGGTAAAAGCTGCTCTAATGAGATTGCACAGGAGGACTTTCTCGTGACTGGCGTGTGTCATGGGTGGAGTCTGTTTGGAAGGAGACGCAGCCACGGCAAACTTGATTCTCGTGATGCCTTTGTGATGGATGACATCATGAAGGATGAAGGGACAGTCCCCAACTTGTCCTTGCGGTAGAAACCCAATCTTTAACACGGATTGCAGCGTAACTCGTAATCTGGGCTGTGCTGCTCATGATACCTGTATTCTAGGCTCCATTGTTTCTCTAACCCTGTGCCTTTACGCGAGCCAGCTTTCAGATCCGTTTTTGTTGTTGTTTTTCTTTGCCTACAAAGAGGCATTGTCCATGCTAAACTATTCTTAAAGTGGCTCTGAGAAGAAGGTTACATGTTACTCTGAATTTCAGTGGAATTCCAGATAGAACTGGTGTCCGTGGAGTTTTTGAGTCATGGCAGGATGAAAACTTACTATTCAATTGGTTCAGCTTCTCTGTCAAATCTAGGAGACACAATCTCACAGCAGGATTCCTGGTCCTCTGGCCCTCATGATATTTCTGCCCCCTCTCCTGTGATAGCCCCTGAGTGTTACATGTAGAAACTGGGTAATAGGTATGTCAAGTGGGGGTGGGCACCAGTTTCTCTCTGTTTTGACCAGCAGCAGCTTGCTGTCATGGTCTTCTGCTACAAATAGAAACCTCTTTGTTGGGGCTGGAGAGATGGCTCAGAGGTTAAGAGCACTGGCTGCTCTTCCAGAGGTCCCTAGTTCAATTCCCAGCAACCACATGGTGGCTCACAACCATCTGTACTGAGATCTGGCGCTCTCCTCTGGCGTGCGGGCATACATCGAGGCAGAATGTTGTATACATAATAAATAAATATATCTTAAAAAAAAAAAAAAAGAAACCTCTTTGTTGAGGGGTGAGATCTACACCACTCAGGCTGGGCCTGAACACCGGATGTGCAGGCCGGACTGGGCCTGGAGATGGTATACACGGCAAGCGGGTAAGGCCAGGAGACAAAAGGGGCCTTGGCTACTGTGGGTGGTGAGCGCCCAGCAGTCAGCCACAGTGGGAAGCTGTGGTGACAGCCAGGCCCACGGAAGTAAGAGACAGCTATTTCTGGCCCTTAGGACTCTTCCGCATCTGCCCCTGTCTGGAGCAGTTGCCTGGCAGAGAGGAAGTTGGGAAACCAGAGCCCAGCAGGGAGGGAACCATGGAGAGGCTGTTCGCTCTACTGAACCCTCTGCATCCCTGCCTCCCACTCGGATCCCTGTTGGCGGCTCCCTTGCAACGGTGATCTCAAGAGACGCTAGAAGGCAGGAGAGCATTGGGTGCTGCTGCTCACCGCTCAGCCTCCCTCACCTGAGCCCTCACCTGAGCCCGAGTGGGAAGGGCAAGCAGAGTACTCAGCACAAATAGTACTTAGTCTGTAAAGATCGCGAGAATATTCTCATCGTAAGCTGTATATGCAGGCTAATGCCTTAGCCTAGACGTAATCAGATGCATCAGAAGTAGAAGCAGGTGTAGCATTTCCCAGTGTTCTGAGTGTGCCTGGCAGATCTGACGGAGCTGTCCATGTTGTTCAGCCCACACTGTGCCTGGGGAAGTAATCACGAGTGTCTGTGGAGCAAGTGGCTGTTTACCTGAGCCTGTGAGGTTGCTTTGGCTTCCTCTGTTGGAGCCCATGTGGTGTAGAACAATAAAATAGGAACGGAGCCACTTTCCCGCTCCGCTCTGCAGCCCTTTGCAGGTTGAGATACCCTGGAAGAGACACTGGAGTGGCGACTGCCTTTCAGCTTCTTCCCAGCACGAAGTTCATTTCTTTCCTCGCGATACCCTGGCAACCATATTGGGAAGGCAGGGCTTTAATTCAGCAAGGTAGCCCAATCAATCGTTCCGGATAAAACAAAGGTTAAAAATCAATCTTGTTTCATCTCACACATCAGATATCTATGTAGTACACCCCACTTCGTGCCATAGGGACTATGAACCTCCTGCCTTGAAAACCACGGTTGTGGACCACTGGGATTGATGAGGGAGGCAAGTCAGCTACGAAGTGACAGTGATGGGTACAGGATGTTCGATGTCTTTAGGAAGGGATAATGATACCCAGAGGAGAGAGATTACCAGCGAGGAGAAATGGGAACCCTAGAAGAAGGATGGTAAGCTGTGTTAACCGCCGAGCTGTGAAGACTGAGAACTGGGTGTGTGTGTGTGTGGGGGGGGGGAACAGATGCTGGCCAGGGCTAACATCTGACAGGCACAGTAAGTCCTACCCAGAGTCAAAGCGCTGAATGCCCGCTGGCTTGCTAGGGGATGAGGGCGGCTCTTGCAACGTTTCCTTAGCGGCTTTGTTGGAAACGTTTAAGTTAAGAGATGACGAGACTAGAGAGAGGTAGGATCTAGAAATGGCAGATAAGGGGGATCGTTAGAGAGGGGTCTCCTGGAGATGTGGGGAGAAATGGTAACGGCAGTCTGGAGAGAAGAGTCCAAGATGGAGAAGAGGACTCTTCCATCTTAGCTGTCCCAGAGGCAGTGGCACTATCAGATGCAGGAAATGTCCTCTTGTCAGCACAAGGGGGATCTTTAGTTAAACACACACACACACACACACACACACACACACACACACACACACACAAATCAACAGACAGGGATTCTTGCTAGAGAATGATGCTACAATTTCTTGTTTGAGTGTACGACCCGCACAGATGCAAGTCATCTCAGTTAAGATACTAGCGAAGGAACTTATTGGTCATCTTCTTTAAAGGCTTCCCTCCCCCCCCCAAAGAACAGATTAAATCTGGTTGTAATGGGTCATGTGTCTGGCCTTGTGTGTGTCTGTGGGTTAAAGTAGGCACACTCCTGTGTGTGAGCCTGTGCCCTCTCAGGTGGGCGTGACGGGGACAGGCAAAATCAAAGAAGTGGGAAGCCCAAAGTGGAAACAGGTTGTGTGCCAGGAATGGGGATTCCACGTCTAGCGCCATCATAAAATTAATTCCGTTCCACCGATCAGGAGTTCCAACCTTATAGTTTCTGTGTCTACAAAAGAGAGGGCTTGCCCTGTGATGACTATAACTCCTTAAGCTTTAAAACCCATCCATATTTTAAAAGTCTGAAATGGATTAGGTGGATTTCCGTTACTACAGCAGGTACCTGAGATCAGTTTATAAAGAGAAGTGGCCCAGCGGGACTCCCAACTTTAGAGGTTCTGGGGCACAGGGAGGCAGACTCATTGATCGCTGGTCTCCAAATGAGTGCTGCCTGGCAACAACCGGGGCACTTGGCAGTCAACCATTTACCTCATGGCTGGAAGGGAAAGAGAGGAAGGGATCCCATCCCATAGCCCCATTGAAGATCGTACTCCAGTGTCCTGAAGACACCTTAGGAGGCTTCCCCCACCCGCTGTGAGCACTTTCCTGGGAGCAACCTTTAATACACAGGCCTTGGTGCACAGTTAAGATTTAGACTGCGGCAGTGACGTGCTTCAGCTGTGTTAAATGTGGGGTTTGTCCAACCTCCATGAAGGTTTCTCTTGCCGGAATCTTCTCTCCTCTTCTTTCTTGCTCTTTTGCCCTGGCTGGTATGAAACTCACTGCGTAGTCCTGATGGATCTTTGCTAGGTAAACAGGCTGGCTTTGAACTTGTGGTCACTCTCTTGACCCTGCTCTCCACAGGCTGTGGTCAGAGGCGGACCCCTCCACTGGACACCATTCCTTGGAAATGGAGGGTGTTAATGTAAATGAGCAGTCTGGTGCAGTCTAAACCTTCACAGGTCTTATGGTGTTGATTACTGATTTATAATTCAGATTCAATTATTCAACAATTATTATTTTGTATCTATTGCATGTCTGGTATGTTACCCAGCTGGGGCCATCGTAAGAAAGGCGACTCCAGTCTCAGTGTCTGGATGAGCGCTGGGACAGAGATTTCCCCACCTCTCCCCATCTTTCATGACGGCCCCTCGCTCCTGGATGTCTTTGGAGAGCCTCTCTATGCATTGTCTTCCCAACGAGTCAGGTCAAGGGTTTCTAACAACTGCTGTTTGATGGTTTTTTTTTTTTTTTTTTGGTGACAGATGATTCAAGAGAGCCGGGTCGTCATAGAAACGGCAGACACCGTCCAGGAAAAGATTGTCCAGTGTCAGAAAGCAGGTAATATTGTTTTCTACTTTGTTTAGAAACCACAATGACAATCCAGGTCTTAAAATTAAACTCTTTCGTGGCAGCGTTTATAGTTTAAGTTATACTCGGTTTTGTCCGGTAAAGGAGAGCTTAGGTGATGGTGGGTGATATTTGTGTTTAGGAGGGTGGTGTTCAAAGATGCCAAGAGATGAGGGTTTATGAATAAACCCTCTGGTTGCGATCCCCTGAGAGCCTCCACTGCTAGCGGAGAAGCCGTGGTTCCGTGTGACTCTTTAAAGCCCACTTAGTAGTTAGGATTGGAGCCACAGTCCTGTTTCCTTCTGAGTTTCTGCCCTTCTTCCTCGTTCTCATGTTAGATTCGTACTTTCTGTAGGGATGGGAGGAGGAGTCACGTGACTGTGAGCACCCACCTTGGTTTGTTTGTGCCCACTTTCATCTATACCACAGAGCTTGTGTTTCTTGGATCCAGGGGCTCCTCCGTCCACAGGGATGAGGAGGAGAGAGACAGGGCAGAGCTGGCAGCTGCTCTCTCCCTGTTCTTATGTTTGAAGTACAAGCCCCGTCTTACCCGGTCTTCATGGCGATTGAGCACGATGTCCCATTTACAGACGGGACCTGGGAGAGGCGGGGGACTCATCCGTGGTCTCAGTGTCAACCCAGAACAGAGTGGACTCACGGACACAGACTATCAAATCTGTGCTATTTACTAGGCTGGTTGGCTAGCGACCTTAGATGTTTTAATTGACAGGAAACATGAAAATCAAAATTCCCTACCTGTAGGGACTGCCTGGCCTGCTTTAGAGCCATGCAGCCGGCCCATTAACAAACAAGAGTCCTGTGCACTCACGTGAGGTTATCTGTGCACCCCACACCCTTCCGTACAAAAACCAGGAAAGGACAGATGAGGTCAGGAGCATCTGCCAGGAGGCTTACTTCTCATTTCCTCTGGTGTTTATCTGTGCATCTGGGCCGCTGAATGTGACATTTAGCCCCTGATTCGCTTACTCTTAGACGCCTTCCCCGTGGGATCTGAATGACAAAACAGAAAGAATTCAAGGCTTTAGATATTATGAGAGGAAACAGGAATGTGAGTTTATAGTTTGTTGGCAATATTTTCATTGTAAATGCACACGTTTTCCTCGTATTCTTCATGTGTATTCTTTCCAAAGGGATGGAGTTCCACGAAGAACTTCATAATCTGGGGGCCAAGGAAGGCCTGAAAGGAAGGAAGCTCAACAAGGCCATCGAGAGCTTCGCTTGGAACATTACTGTGCTGAAGGTACAGCTCCCTCGCTGCCCCTTGCCCTGTATTTCTCTCTTCTGCTCTCCAGGGCAGAGAGAAGCATTGGCAGCTAAACGTGGTGATTTGAATTTTGAGCCACGAGTAGGATGATAGTCAGGTTCAGCTCTAAGTAATGGGGACACAAAGCCTAGGCAGAACTTGCTTTGAGTTTTCTTAATAGGGAAACGCGGTTCATGATGGAGGTTGAGGGGAGTACATGAGTGAGACCTGATGTTAATGCCGCACGTGCGCGCGTGCGTGTGTGCGTGTGTGCGTGTGTGCGTGTGTGTGTGTGTGAAACCCGTGCTTACGTTTATGTGAACCCCTCCACAAGTCAATATGGCTGTTCTCATTAGTGTAAAGTTGTGCCTGATGAGGCTGGGAGGATTCCAACGTAAGACAGTTGGAACAGCCTTAGACTATGAAATTTCTGGGGCCACTTAGGATCTTTATTTTCGGAATATTCTCTATAAATACATTTCTCTGAAAATGTTTTGGAAGTCAGCTCCTTGAGATTCTAATGTGCTTTCTGTCGCAAATCGACTTCGGGGTTCGAAGTGTAGATGCCATGTTTTATGTTTTCTTATGTAAAAGGAGAAACAACTTAGGTGATTAGAAAAGCTTGCTCGGGAATTGTGCAAAAATCGATGGTTGTTCATACTTAGAGAATCTCTGCTGTGTCCAGTGCCATTTAATGGCAGCTACATGGAATAATAATTTAGTACAACCCTTATAGCTGTCAGTATCCTTGTACAGACGAGGAGATGGAGGCATTGGGGTCCCTCAGCTTTTAGTGGTCCAGCTGAAGTTTGAACCCAGCTCGACAGAGATGCTGCCTAGCTCTGTGGCAGTTTGGAGTGAGCCGCAGAATATACTCACGTCTTTAAAGAGTCAGCCCGTAAGTGCTTATGAGCTCTTACCGCGTGAGATGCGTGGCAGGCATTGGCCGCACACAGATGATTGTAGGAGTTGTAGACGTAGGCCCCGCTGAGTTAGCAGCCTGAAGCTGTGGCACAGAGGGGCACCATTCATCCGAGGGGTGGGCTTGGGCCGCAGTGTTCAGAGAAGAGCACGCTAGAATTTTAGCACGAGATTCTTGAGTCTTTTCCACTTGGGAAACTTTTCCCTGAGAAATGTTTATGCATCCTCAGGTATATAAGTATATGAAATGCCATACAAATCATTTGCTGGTAATAGATATAAAGATGTTTATCTTAAAATAATTATGAAATATATAATGGTACAATTTATTAAAGACAAAATCAAGCATTCGTACTAATCAGATGGGTGTCCTTATTTGCCCTTACATAGAGAATTAAATCTTGGCTGAGCATCTTCAATGTTTCTGATATTTTGATTTTATTATCAACAGTGCTAAGGCAGGCACATTGTTTTGTGTACAAAGACAGAAGCGTGATTAGGGCCATTTCAGAAGCTGTGGAAAACGCCATTCTGATCCCAAGCTATAATTCACGTAATGATTATTTTATGAGCCCAAGTTATCAATGCAAACAGCAATTTTAAAAATCAATAATTCTCAAACAAAACAACCCAAAAGTGTTTGCTATCTACGTGCTGAAGGAAGACAGCAGAAATAGCTGGTCTCTGTTTTCACTACTTAGACCATCCGGTTTCCATAAGGATGGAACATTTTGTATGTGCAGTGAAAACAATATACAGTGTTGAATAGTCTCAAAGGCTGATGTCTTTAGGCAGTGTTTGCTAATGTGACGGTGTGCACGGTGTGAGCATGCGTGTTGTGTGTTCAGCTCTGAGGCTTCTCTGAGGTCAGGCAACACAGCTGTGTGCTGCTGGAAACATGCGCAGTTCATGTGTGTTTGAGGTTCCGAGTACTTTATTTAGTTCATTGTTGTTTGTTGTGCATTGCCCACATACTGTTATGTAGCCTTACATAACATTGTGTTCCAAAGTCGAGCAAACTGGGACCGATGGCATAACACAGCATTTAGTATACAGAATTTAGTATAAACCCTTTTGGAGGGACAGATGTTTCTTTGGGCTTGTTGAAGGACCAACCATCAAGAAAGGTGCTCAGAGATGTGAAAGTCAAGAATATCTCACCTGGGCTTCCAGGGCTAGGCTGCCAAGGGTAGATGGGCATACAACTACTACATGGTTATGGTGCACACTTAATGACTCAGCATTTGAGGCCAGCACTCATAGCTAGGTACACACACACGTATATACACACGTATATGTATGTATATACGTGTATGTGTATAGTACGCACATATCTGTAGCATATGTGATACATGAGTGATATATATGTATACACATATACATATACATGTATACACATACACACACATATAAATCCTCCATTGCCCTTCACCAGTTCTGCAGTCTGGTAACATCACTTTTCACCTTGACAGAATCTCTATATCTTATAGATGAAGAAATTGAGACTGAGGCTGGTATACATTTATCATTGAGTCACATAGCTATTAAATGGCTGAGTGGAGATTTTTAATTGGTTACCCATAATTTTGGCTGTTACCCTGAGCTACCGACTATAAAACTCCATCCATGTCCCCAGCCAGCCTCGTGCGGGGATCAGCACACGTGTGCGTAAGCTGCTAGATAGTGGTGAGGTTTCAGTCTGCGAAGAGCCAATTCTCAACACACAGACCTAGTATCACGTTTTCGTTGTTCCCCTCCATTTTCCTCGCAGAGCAGGCTCTCTGTTTTAACTTTTTTCTTGTTGCTAACTTCCGACTAATGCCCACTTGGTTTTCTGAGGTTTTCCTTGGATGTTTGTTTGCTTTAATGACAGGAGCTGATTTCTGGATGTGACTGAGCAAATATTGAGTAAATCACTCCAAGACAGATCTTTGAAAACAGAATTGATCTTCCATAATTACAGCTTGTACCCTGGCTGTTAGCATTGCAGGCTGGGCTCCCAATCCTAAGCAACGGTAGAGGAGCTTTCCAAACGTCAATTATTTCATTGGAAATGTTTTAGCATGTCTGTCATCGGGTTTAGTCAGCTTATTAATCACGTGACCGTTATCCTAGAGCTAAAAATGTTGCCTCTAAGGGATTCGGATTATTGGGTAAGAGAATGAAGCTGGGCTCTGGCCCTGCAGGAGTTGCTTTCCCATTGGGTCTGCTCCGAGAAGGACTCTTTCCCTTTGGGTCTGCTCTGAGAAGGACTCTTTCCCTTTGGGTTTGCGCTGAGAAGGACTCTTTCCCTGTAAACCTTCCTTAGCCCTGGAGTCCACACTCAGAGATCTTATTTGCCGATGGATCTCTAGTCTTGATATTAATTCTCTAAGTTTTAATAAATGATTGTTTTATATTTGAGTTCATTTCAGTCATTTTACCTGGATAGATTAGTAATAAGCACCTCGGCAAGACGTAATCATAGTATCTATCAATAGTGGGTGGGGCTCAGCTTTAAAATTCCTCAATGCCTACTGCTGAGCGTCCTTTACACGTCTGTAGGTCAGGTACTCTCCAGGATCTCGGGGTAGAGTGGGGATTTATCAATACTGGCTAAAAATAGGTGTGTTCATGTTTCTAAGGGCATTTAGTGCCAGTATAATTACCAAGTCAGAGCAAAACAGGGACAGATGAGAACTGTGTACCCAGTGATGGTGGGTCATCAACATGGGGCTGACACGGTTTGGGACATTGGCTTTGGAGAACATTGGCCTCGGACTGAAATACAAACTCTTGAGTTTATGTTTTCTGCATTTCTGCATATGATAAATTTAATAGCAAATGATAAGAAAGGTAAATTAAAATGTATAGAGAGTAGGTAAATTCAGTTTGGGGTCTGGTGAGAGCCCCTTATCTGATTCCAAGGTGGTATCTGGCTGTTGTGTCCACTGGCAGGGTAGTAATAACTGGCTGTGTCTGATGGCAGGCAGGCAGGAAGGACAGAAAGTTACGTTGAGTGCCCCTAAACGCTCTCACCAGGCTCTGATCCTGTCATAAAATATTGTATGTATGCCTGCATATATGTGTATGTATGTATGTCTGCATATATGTGTATGTATGTATGCCTGCATATATGTGTATGTATGCCTGCATATATGTGTATGTATGTATGCCTGCATATATGTATATGTATGTATGCCTGTATATATGTGTATGTATGTATGCATGTATGAATGAATGTAATGGGTGTTAGACGGGGGAGGGTTACATGGTTCCTCCTGTTTGAGAGCCGGTGCCTGATTTACTGAGCCATCTCCCCTGCCCTGATAGCTGCCACCACCACCACCACCACCACCACCACCTCCTCCTCCTCCTCCTCCTCCTCCTCCTCCTCCTCCTCTTCCTCCTCCTCCTCCTCCTCCA